TACAAACACCTTTTCATTTATTTTACATGGAAGAAAACCTTCACTTCGACCATTCTTCAGAAGACCAATGATCTGTATGAAGCGAAAATGAAAATGAAAACGAAGTTATGCAAGTAAATCAGAATCAAGTAAATATAATTCTTAGAGAAATAGCAAATGCCTTTTGAGATGCAACTTTAGGAGCTGTTCACGATGTATGACCAGAGCAACAAGAAAATAACTGGATAAGAGTTAGAACGTTCTACGGAGAAGAAGAGGAAGACCCTTTCGAGTGGATAGAAGCCTTTGAACGTGCTGCCGACGCTAATAACTGGGCAAATCGAAGAAAAATTAAAAATTGCAACCAGATACCTCGCTGGAATTGCTGCAGACTGGTTTCACGACAATAAAGAAGCCTTATTATATTGGGACAAACAATATGATCAAAAAGGAAGTTTCGTGCCAGAATTCTTAAAATACTTCGCCACTTTGGAACGAAGACACCAATGGCAGGTCGAATTAAATTCCCTAAAACAACAAGAAGATGAACGTGTAGGAAACTACACCTATAAATTTAAAAAACTCTTAAAAAGAGTAAATTCTGAAACTGCTTTGCCCCAAGAATACATCGTACGAATGTTTATCGGAGGCCTACAAGGAAAAATAGTGTCATTTGTTGCCGTAAAAGACCCAAAAAACTTGGAAGAAGCTATCTCTATGGCTAAAAAGAGCTAAGCCGGAAGTTATTATAGAAATACAGCGATAAAAGAAAAAGGAGGAAAGAAGGATAAATTAGAAGAAGATATAAGTGAACTGGCGCAACAAGTTCAAAATATGAGTGTCAATTACGCCAAACTTACGGCCCTATTAGCAACCCAAGCCGAATCAAGTACTCCACGAACTAGACCAACCAGTAGACCAATTAGTATGGTGACTTGCTTTAGGTGTGGTGAAAAAGGCCACTATTCGAGAGATTGTCTCGCAGAAAGAGAAACACCAGTTCTCTGTGAGAAAAACCTACTCAACCCAACAGGACCACAAAACGTGAAACCGAGGCACACTATGGTAAAGTTAACGACGTTTATAATGAAAGAGAAATGTACACTATCGATGATAGGTACCAACCTTATAATAGAGAAGATAGAGAGCATACTCAACCTAACTCAGAATCGCAATGGGAAGGGCGGTTAAGAAACAAGAAAACAGTCAATATCCAATCTAGAAACCTACCCTCTAGTCGATGATGATGACCTAATGCAAGATAATGATTTACTTACTCCGGCGCGAGCCCCGAGAAGAAAAAGAGGCCCTTCGATAGTAGATTCAATCGTTGCTTACAATGTTGCTGATGATATTCTTAACACACGTGTCAATGCAACAGTAGGACAAATGCTCCATTACCCAAATCAAAGAAGAAACTTGGCAAAAGTTCTTCGAAGACCATTAATAACGGAGGAAACAAATTACATAGACGAAGGAGAAAAAAGAACCACTGCTGCGAGGTGTAATGTAAGAATCCGAAATAGCCCAGTCGCGATTTTAGATTCGGGTGCTGCAGCAAGCTTTATAACGAAGAAACTAATGAATAAGCTTGGCCTTAAAATAGAGGAAAGTTCCACTACAGTTATAGTAACTGCCACTAGAGTAAGAAATAGAACTTTGGGAAAAATCAAAAACGTAAAAATCATGGTTCAAGACTTAGCTATTCCAAGCCCACTTCAAGTAATCAAGTCAGTAGATGAGACTCTCTTGTTGGGTAATGATTGGTTTGAAAAAGTAAGAGCCTGTATATACTTTGACGAACAAAAATTGATCCTAAGGTATTTAGGAAGAGTCGTTGAGGTGCCCATCACTAATAGCGGACCAAGAAAGTTGTTAAATGAGAAAAGGGAAGACCCCGAAGATCCCTTAAATAATGATGATGATCTGTTCGATCAATTGGTATACGAAAATGAAGAAGTTGAAGAAATCGACAGATATTTTACGGAAGAAATGTTGAGTGAAAAAGAAGATTCGGAATTGTACATTAACCCCTGGCAAGATGCTCAAAGCCCTGCTGCGTATTTGTCTCATATAGAAGAATTACCCACTGTGTCGTTAGATGAAGAGGAATTTATCGAAAAAAAAATTGAAAAAATGGAAGTTAGTGAGGAGTTGGATGATGAGCAACAAAAAGAGGCAAAAGATTTAATAAAGAAGGAAAAAGGAATCTTTGCCCGAAATGTTGAAGAACTTGGACGTACTGAAAGAACTAACCACGTGATCGACACGGATGACGCTGCACCCATAAAACAAAACGCGTATAGGGCCGCCCCCGGCATTAAAGAATTTATTAAAAAAGAAATAACCCAATTAAAAGAAAGAGGGTTAATTCGTGAGTCACAGAGTCCTTGGTCTTCCCCCGTTGTGGTAGTGCCCAAAAAGGGTGAAAAGTTGCGGTTATGTATCGATTACCACAAATTAAACGCGGTTACAAAAAAGGACTCTTACCCTCTCCCCCGTGTGGATGATCTCTTGGAAACTTTCTCTAAAGCAAGATGGTTCAGTTCTTTGGACTTATTAAGTAGTTACCAGTAAATGAAAAGGATAAAGAAAAAACGGCATTTGTTACCTCTTATGGGACCTATGAATTTAACGTTATGCCTTTCGGGCTGTGTAATGCCCCTGCCAGTTTTCAAAGGCTAATAGATAAGATATTGGCTGATTATATTGGAAGATTTGTCGTAGTGTACTTTGACAACATAAATATTTATTCTGAAAATTTTTATGAGTACCTAAATCATATTAGTATAGTTTTTAAGAAGCTAAAGGAGTCCAGGTTAAAATTAAATTTTGATAAATGTACTTTTTTTCACAGTAATATCTATTTCCTTGGTCACGTCGTTGGAAGAGATGGAATCAAACCCGACAAATCGAAAATCGAGAAAGTAAAAAATTTTCCGATCCCGAAAACTCTACGACAACTCCGGGGATTTATTGGGTTGGGTTGGCATTGTACTATCGACGATTTATTAAAAACTTCGCCACCATTGCCCGCCCGCTACATTATTTACTAAAAAAGAACATTGAGTACAAATGGGATAACGATCAAAATTACGCATTTGAATCACTTAAACGTCACCTTATTACGGCTCCCATTCTACGGTATCCTGATTTTTCTAAGACCTTCTTTATTCACACCGACGCTTCGGGTTCCGGACTTGGTGCAGTGCTTTCGCAGAAAGATGATAACGGTAAAGAATTTGTTGTGTCATACGCCAGCAGAGGATTAACTGTACACGAAAAAAAATTATGCCGCAACTGAGTTGGAATGCCTGGCCATTTTGTGGGCAGTGGAACATTTCCACCATTATTACGGCCTAAACCCTTTTGTAGTTATTACCGATCATAGTGTATTAAAATGGCTAAAAACTTCGAAACTTACCGGACAACGTGCAAGGTGGATGCTAGGTTTGCAACCTTATGACTTTACCATTCATCATAAGAAAGGACGTAAACATAGTAACGCTGACGCGTTATCCTGAATTTAAAACACTATCTGAAAGACAAATTACGTGAAAAGACAACAAAAAAAAAAAAACATTGCTAATTTCCTTAAATCCGAGGTACAGAATCCAGCCCAGGTTTCGGTGTCCTGGCAAACCTAATAAAATAAAGTTTTATTCAAAAAAAAAAAAAAAAAAAAAGAGAAAATGGAGCCCACTCACTACAACCACCTCAAGACTTACTTGCAAACTCGAAGGTTACCTTCAAATCTTGATGACGTCCAAAGGCAAAGACTACAAAAGAAAAGCGAATTTTATACTTATCAAAACGGAATTATCTACAAGCGTGATAGAAGAAAGAAGGGTCATCTGTTGCACATGATTCAAAACACGAATTGGAGCTGATATTATTTTTAACCCACCAGCATCCTCTTGGCGAATATTTCAATAAAGATATAATGTTTGACAAAATAAGGAACCTATACTTCTGGCCCCAAATATACACCGACATTCGAAATTATGTCCAGAAGTATGAACGATGTTAGCAAAGAGGAAAGAAAAGAATCGTCAGACTGTTACACCCAATCCCTGTAACTGCGCCCTTCCACCAAATTGGTATCGATTTTGTCGGCCCGCTCCCACGAACACCAAGACTAAAACGATATATTCTGGTCGCCGTGGACTATATGTCAAAATAGCCCGAGGCCATGGCCATAGAAAAAGCCGATGCAATAACTGTTGCGGACTTTTTATATAATGAAATAGTATGTCGGCACGGCTGCCCCGAACGTATTCCCTCAGACCGAGGTACCCACTTCAACAATAACATGATCAAAGCATTTATGGAAAAGTTTACCATTAATCATAAACTTTCAACGCTCTACCACCCACAAACCAATGGGTTGGTAGAGCGTTTTAACTGAACACTGTGTGAAGCCATAGCAAAACTTGTTGAAAATGTACCTGACTAGGATTTGTTAATCCCTTCTATCCTTTTTGCATACTGCACTGCTAAAAATTCTTCAACAAAAATGTCACCTTTTTACCTCGTATATGGCTGGGAAGCGCGGCAACCTATACATCCCAATAATACCAAAGAACTATTGGAAGGGACCATCCTTCAAAGAACCTATGAACTGATAGAACGGCTTCTACAAATTAGAAATACAGCATTGGAAAATATTCAGCAAACTCAAGAACGACAAAAACATTACCATGATACTCATCATAAATTAGCCACCGGATTCAAAATTGGAAAAAAAGTGTAGATGTACAAAGCTTCTACAGAACACTCTAAAAGCAATAAATTTGGACCAAAGTGGCTCGGCCCATTTTACGTATATGATCAGCTCCCCAGCAACGTTTACAAGCTATGAACTACCAATGGGAAGGTGCTAGCTACCCCTATTAACACTAAAAACCTAAAAAAATGTTACGATTAAAAAAAAAAAAAAAAAAAAAAAAAATTTTTGCAAATATTAACCATTTCATTTATTTTATCTGCGAAATTAAGGTAGCCATTGGTGGGCGAACATATTAATAAAGGAAAAAGGCATCGTAATGAAAGTCTAGAGAAGAAGCTGAGAGACCGCACTCAATTCCTTCTTTGTACCCAGAAAGCCACCATCATTTAGCTAATCTTTAATAAGATAACCGCCGGTTCTAATATTATGTGTGGTACATATATAATAAGTCGTGGGGAATGTCACAGGCAGAATAAATCGTGACCACCTAAAACGTGACCCAAACGACGATCGGGTCCCGGATCGGTGAACGATCTGTGATTATGGCGCAACAACGATGCCTCGGGCTTTGGCATTTACGATTAACCTAAAATTGGGTGAAACCCGCA